CTGAGTTTTGTTCAAGTTTTTCAGGCTGTATTCTTTGCCTTTTGGAATACCTTGTAAGTTTTTTTTGATGGGCAGACATGATATACTTATAAATGGAACAGCAACAAGTAGACCTTTAGTGATGTGGTGGTGCCGTATGTGGGAAGGGGAAGAAGTCTATAATTTTATGATCAGGTCTCAGTCTGTTCATTATACTGTGCCACTGGAATGGTGAAGTTCATGAGTGATTCTCAGTTTTTTTCTCATTCTTGGTTAGGATAGGATAGATAGTGGAGATTCAAGGTATATATTTCTCTTCTTCCACATTGAAGGGTAATAGGAGCTGAAGTTTCTATTCTTCCACATGGGTGGCTAGATCTAGCTGGACTAGGTAGATATTTTCCCTCCCCAAGTCAGCTGGGCACTGATAAACCTCAGTAGGTTAAACTCTGATAAATAATTTCTCTTGAGGGCAGTCCTTGTTAAGAAGAGCAGAATGCTCTGGTATAGTTCATAATAATTAATTTCCAGTTCTCTTGGTGAGGAAATTTTTCTCTTACCTTCACTCTGAGAATCTGGCTGAACTTCTGGAAATAAAACTCATAAAAATATGGGAGGGCTGGGCATTTAGCTCAGTGGTTTCGCCACCTGCTGCACAAGCACAAGGACTCGAGTTTGATCCCTGGTACCAAAAAAAAAAAAAAATATATATATATATATATATATATTATAACTAGATCCCCTTGCAGTTTTTAACTGTGTGTATTGTCCTTTTTGAATCTTAAGGGTTTATTAATGCTTCAAGATTTCGTACTTTGTTATTTGTTCCCACAGATGTCTCTTCTTGTTGGGTTTCTAGCTGTGAACTTGTGATTGTCAGTTTCAAGCCTGTCTGTCTCTCCCATGTTTTGGGGCAATGGCTTACATTACATTCTTCTTTAATGGGTCATAGGAGAGTTGTTTTATTACTGTTGGCAGACTGGAGTGATGACTCCTAAGCTCCATATGTGCCAGACCAGAAACAGGAAGTCCTGGCAATTTTTTTTGTTTTTTTTTTTGGTATTGGGGACTGAACTTGGGCCCTTGCGCTTGCAAGGCAGGTGGCAAAACCACTGAGCGAAATCCCCAGCCCTTGGCAATTTTTAAATTGTCTTTATTGAGGTTTAATTTAGATGATTAACATGTAGGGATGTCCACCAATTTAAACTCTACAATTAGATTAGTCTTAAATATGTGCCTTTATGTAGCTACTACAGCAATCATTCATATAGAAAATATTTTTCAGCCCTAGAAAGTTCTTTTTTGTTCCTTTTGAGTACTTTGGCCTGATACATTTAGATATATCATCACCTTTGAGTGACCAGGATAATTTTCCTCTTATAAAATAATTTGTGAGATATTTCCTCTGCCTCTATTTTCTATAAGAATTAGGGTAGGCCTTATAGTACTTTTTCCTTAAGTATTTGTTAAAATTCCACAGTGGTGTTGTCTCAGCCTGAAGTCTTCTTTGTGGAAAGATTTTTAATTATAAATTTTGTTTCTTTTATAAAATAGGGAACTATTCTTGTTTGCTTCTTGTTCAGTGAGATTTGATAGTTTATCTTTCAAGGAATTTGTCAGTTGCATTTAGGTTGTTGAATTTATTGTCATTAAATTGTTCACTATATTCTCTTATCATCCTTTTGTCTATAGGAACTATGGTGATCTTCCTTTGATGCCTGATATTGATAATTAAGATCTCTTTTCCTGATTAATGTAGACAGAGGTTACTCTATTTTATAACATCTTCCTATCTATTTTTTATGGTTTTATATATTCTTTCCTTTTCCCTTCTTTTCCTGCTTCTTTTGGATTTAGATATTTTTCTTATTCCTTTGTATTTCACTTTTGCCTTATTAGATATACTTCTTTGATTGATGGATGGATTGATTGATTCTGTTAGTAGTTTCCTTGGGATAGGATTTCTTAACCTCAGCACTATTGATGTGTAGGCTAGATAGTTTTTGTTGTTGTGTTATCCTATGAATTGTAGAATGTAGCCTCTATGAGATTTCACTAGAATCTCTGTTCCCTCTCAATTGTGACATCTAAAAGTATATCTCCATACACTGCCAAAGGCCCCTGGAAGACTGAGAGGGAGGTGGTAATGACAAAATTACATTGATTGGGAACTGCTACTCTTGTTTATAGTATGCATCTTTAACTTACCACAATTATCATCACGTTATTTTACTACCTTTCCTATAGTGTCAGAATCTTTAAATAGTATAGTTTTATTATTTTCCTCATGGCCTTTGTGCTATTTACATGCATTTTACCTCTATTTTATGTTAAACTTTAGAATACGGTCTTATTATTTTGGCTCTAAATAATTTATTGTAGTGAATTTTTTATTGATGGCACTTTTATTCCTTTGAGCGGGTCTAAATTCTGATTTTTTTATTTGCTTGAAGAATTTCAGTCTATTGAATGCAAATTCTTTTAGCTTTTTCTGAAGTCTTTATTTCACTTTCATTTTGGACTGCTATTTTCATTTGGGACCAAATTTAGATTGACAGTTGTTTTCTTTGAGTATTTTGAATATGTCACCAGATTGTCTTCTGATTGAGAAGTCTGCAGTCATTCTTGTCTTTGACCCACTGTATTGAATATGTTTCCTTTTCTGCTTTCTGTTAACATTTTTCTTTATCATCAATGTTGAAAATTTCAATATACATTAGTTTGGTCTTGTTTATTTTATTTTGCTTCATGTATTTTGAACTTTTGAGTCATTGAGCTTGTAATTTTCATCAAACTTGCAATTTGGGGAATATTATTTCTTCAACAATAATTTTTTGGGTAACTCAAGTTACATTTATATTAAACTACTTAATATTGTTTAATAGGTCATAAACTGTCTTTAATTTTTTGTTAGTATTTTTTCTGTTTCCTTTATTTTGGATGCTTTCTATTTTTGTATATTCTAGTTCACTTATCTTTTTTTTCTGTAGTACCTAAATTTCTGTTAATTTCAATGTAATTTTAATTTCAGATTCTATACATTTTAGATGCTTCAATATATATAGAGGATGAAAGATATACACACATATATTTATATATATATATAAAATGTGTGAATATGTGCATATGGATGTGTTCATTTCTGTCTTTTACTTTTTCAGTGAATGCTAGATATTGCAGAATGTATTTTTTGGGTGCCTGATTTTGTTGTGTCCTTTTAATTATTCCTGGATTTTTTTTCTAATGAATAATTAAAGTTATCACTAAATTGAATCCTTTTGAACCTTTGTTTTAAGTTTTGCTAGGTGGTCTAGAACAACCTTTAATCTAGTATTAATGTGGCCTAACTATTAAGGTGATGTTTTTTCTAAGGATTACCTAGGATCTCGTAGTAGAAACATTCTGGCTACTGGAAACACAAAGTATTCTGGTCCTGGGTGAGGTCTGAGATTTGTTCAGTCTACTGCTTTCTGCTGCTTGCTTTTGACTGTTGGGAATTTTCATTCATGCATACACACATCAGTGCTTAGCTAAAGACTGGAGGAAACCCTTCAGTAGATCTCTACTTGCTCTCTTTCTGTACAAGTTCTACTGTTCCTATAGCCTGCTTTGCAAAGCTTGCTGCTTTTGCCTTCCTATCTCTGTTCTTTCAATTGACTTCCCTTCTCCTACTCAGGCTTTGAAACTGTTTCTAGTCAGTAAGTAATGGCAGTGCTAGGCCCCCCTATTTTGTTTCTTTTTTCGCTGGTATCCCATCTTCCTGTTTCTTGTTAGAAATCTTTGATTCGTATTTTTGCTTTGTTTTGTAGTTGTTTAAAGCTGAGAGTAAACTGTGTCACCATTACTCCATAATCTGGAAGTGGAAGTCCTTCAGTTGTCATTTTGCATTTCCTTTCTGTAATTGGAGATTACATTATAGATTGTTTCTGCTGACATGCATGGGGACTGGTTGCCTTTGATTCATAGTTTAAATCATTATCTTTCTCAGTATCTTGGTAAGGGGCTTGTGTTGCCTATAAAGGAAATTGTGTGCTGGGGAACATACTGTTTATCTATATTCTTTGTAATAGAGGAAGTAATGCAGTAGGCAAAGGTGGTACTAATTTTGCCTAATGTATACCATAAGTTCTTAGAATATGCAACAACTTGGTCATTGATATTTCTCCCGCTGCTTGTGGTTTTAGGAGTATTCTTTAAGTGATAAATTCACCATCTACTTCATTCTTGAATCATGAATCTCTATGCTCAGATTCTATTTTGAGAGCCAGACATTCAACATGCTGAGTTTGTTGGTTTGTTGCCTGGAAAATTGTTAGGGCAAAATTGATACTTTGATTATGGAGAGAAAGAGGCAGATTTCAGATGAAAATGTTCATCTCTGACTTACTGTATAAAAAAGACATACTGGGGCCGGGGATTTAGCTCAGTGGTTCTGGCGCCTGCCTTGCAAGCGCAAGATCCCAAGTTCAATCCCTGGTACCAAAAAAAAAAAAAAGAAGACATACCTAGAAGTATGCCATATGAAAGAGAAAGAAGCATAAGGTATAAATAGTAAACTTTGCATTACTATCAGTAGGTAGACATCATAAGACTGCATAAGAAGGGTGATTATATATCATGTTGGCTGAGGTTAATCCAGGTTTACATTTGTTGTTCTGGAATAATTTAAGGACATCCCCTTTCACTTTTGAAAATGACTTGATTTGGATGATATATACATATGTATGTGTAAACATATAATCTATATATTCATCCTTATAAGGAATGGATTAAAGTAATCATTGGAAATTCATCACTGGAATCATTGGAATTTCCAATGATGAATGTCATATTGTATACCTAAAATGTACCAATAAAATTAATTAAAAAAATAAAGAATGTAAGGTAAATGTTAATTCTTTGGTTACTGTTGTTCCTTGAGTGATAGATTTACTGTTTACTTTGTATTTTAGTTAAATAGTAGATAATATGTACTGACTAGTACATGTGTTTAAAAATTTGTTTTGGTATTTTTGCTGCAGATGATCTCAATGCCACCCACCAACACTGTGTTTTGGCTGGTTCACAACCTCGGTTTAGTTCCACCCACCGAGTGGCAGAGGTAAGTATAAATAAAAATGTGATTCACACTTAATTGGATGTGACAGAAGTGGTTGACTGAGCAATTTATCATAGAGCTTTGGAAAAGTATTTGATAGGAAAATTGCTTGACTGTAGTCTCTATCTATTTCTCTTTTTAGCTTTGGGGTTGTATTGGTTGCACTTTTAAAGTGTGTTCACAGCATGGGATAGTATATTTTGTTTTGGGGGTTATTTCTTGGAGAAGGTAAACACCATCGGTAGGTGCCACTAGTTTGAGATTTTCTTAGGTGTTGTATCTGCCAGATCAAGGGCAAGAGTTGGCCAGAGGAAAGGGAGTGAATATGTGAGCTTGTTCATTTGTCAGCTGTGGGTGGGTTCAAACGAACATTTCCCTGAACTTTTTGTTGAGGCTTTGGGCATGTGAGTATAAACGTAGGAGAAACTTAGAGTGGTCTAAAGGGATTTCTGAATATCCGAATTGTGTTTATAGCCCAAATTTTATTGCTAAATTCTGCCACCATTTGGCAGTAGCTACTGGCCAGCTGATCAGACTAGCTCAGAAGGCAAAGTTAGTAAATGAGGAAAAGCCATACTAGTCACTTTAGGGTTCCAAATGGATTCCAAAGAGAAGACAATAATTATGAGAAGACTCAAGATGACTTCCAAGTCAAGCTTGACTATTATGTACATGTAAATGGAGATGGGGATAGCAATCCTACCTAATTCATAGGGTTATTATAATGATTAAATAAGTTAATGCATAGAAATCTTTTAGAACAGTGTATAGACAGGCTTGCAATAAAAAATAAAAATAAGTTTAGGTGGCAGGATTATTCTTTTATCTTATTTAAAATTCATCTTATGTTATTGTTTCAAATAGTTGGAAGGGGGAAATGATTTTCCTCAATACTGAAGTTATTATTTTATGCAAAATTATTTGATTTGTAATATAATTTATTTAATGTATTTATAATAATTACTACTGTATTCTTGCATAATTATTTTTTGAATAGCTAGTTACTCAGATGGTTTAAAATTCAAAACCTAAACTAACCTAAACTAACTTAGTCTCTTTTTCCTCAAGCCAACTAACTTCTACTTCCCAGAGATAATCAATGTTGTCATTCTTATTATCTTTTAGTGACATTACTCATACACAATGATAGCTACCCTGTACACTATTTTGTACTTTTTGCTTTGTTTCAGAAACTTTGATGATAATTACTCATCAATCCGTAATTATTTTCTTGGCATGGACAATGGCTAAAGTTGGTTTTTTGTTTGTTTGTTTGTTTGTTTGGTACTGGGGATCAAACTCGGGACCTTCTGCTTGCGAGGCAGGCAGTGGAACCACTGAGTTCAATCCCTGGCCCTAAAGTTAGTTTTTGTTGTTACTATTTTTCATGGTTTTTGGCATAAGGGATTGAACCCAGGGCATTATGCGTGGATCTCTTGCACACAAGGCAAGAACTGTACCACTGAAGTACATCCCCAACCTGAAAAAGGCTGTTTAGATAGGACACCTAAAGCACAAACAAACCAAGAAAAAATTGAAAAACTGGACTTCATCAAAATTAAAACCTTTTGTGCTTCAAAGGATACCATCAAGAAAGTGAAAAGAAAACTAGTGAATCGGAGAAAATATTTGCAAATCATGTATTTTGTAAGGTCTTTATGTTTAGAATAAAGAATTCTTAGAACTCAGTCATTAAAATGAGAAATAATTCTGGTTAAAACGGTGGGCTGGAGATTTCTCTCAGTGGTGTCACCACCTGCCTCACAAGTGCAAGGTCCTGAGTTTGATCCCCAGTACCAGAAAGAAAAATTTTAAAAAATGGTGAAGGATCTGCATAGGCATGTCCCAGAGAAGGTATACAGATGACCAAGAAGCACATGAAAAGTGCACAGCATCATAGAGAAATACAAATGGAAACCATGATGAGATACCACTTTACTCCCACTAGGATGGTTAGAGTAAAAAAGATAACACATATTGGTGAGGCTGTGCATAAAGAGGAACCCTGTGCACTGCTGGTAAGAGTATATAAAGATACAGCCACTTTGAGAAGTAGTTGGGCCCATCCTCAGAATGTTAAATGTAAAGTTACCCTACGACACAGCAATTCCATGCCTAGGTATATGCCCAAGAGAAATTACAACTTGTACAGCATTGTTTACAGTAGCTTGATTTACCTAGCCAAAAAGTGGACACAATCCAAATGTTCACCACTTACTGAGTAAGTGGATGAATAAAATGTGATATAGCCATACAATCAAATATTTGACAATACAAAGGACTGAAGTACTGATATATGCTGCAACATGGATGGACCATGAAAGCATGCTAAGTCCAAGAAGCTAGTCACAAAAGATCATGTCGTGTATGATGTCATTTATCTGAATGTCCATAATAGACATATATATGGGTATAGAAAGTAGATTAGTGGTTGCCCAGGACAGGAAAGGTTGGTGGAAGTGGGAAAGAGTGACTGCTAAAGTACACAGTTTCATTTTGGGGTAATAAAATTATTGTAAAATTAATTGTAGTTACAGTTGCACAGCTCTGTGAATATATGAACACACATTGAATTGTGAGCTTTAAATTGTTGAATTTTATGATATGTGAATGATATTTCAATAAAGTTGTAGCAAAATAACAAAGAAAAAAACCTTAGCAGCAAACCCAAGTCTGATTCTAGGTTCTTTACAAAATAGTACTCTATATATCCAGAAAAAATTTCACTTTCCCCTTTCCCTTTTATTGGCAGCAAGTAAGGTTAAACTGTAGTTCATTTAACTGGTTTGCTAATCATGGGAAATTTAGATTGTTTCTCATCTTTAGCTATGATAAGTGGCCACACAATTAATAACCTCTTACATACTTGGGGAAAAAAAGATTCAAGAAGGACAACTTTCTAGGCAGATTGTCATTTAAAAATATGTTGTAGGAGGGGCTGTGGGACTAAAGTGAGTGATAATTGACCTCTGTTCTTTGTTTTCTCTTTGCAACAAATTGGAGTTGCCTGCCCTTGTGCTCTCCATATCCTGGGGTCATCATATTAAAGTACATATCAGTCAAGCTTCTGGTTTTGTGGCACAGAAACTTTGTTTTTCCTCGCTTGTAGATGTCACATTGTATAAATAGGCAATAACTATGCAAAGAATTTCTATACCAGAGGTTGTTTCCAAGGGCTGAGTTGAAGTTATAAATATGAAAATAAAAATATCTTAGAGATATATTTCCCTCATTGTTTCTTAAGGAAATAGATAGATAAATAGATAGATAGATAGATATTGCTTTTTATCATTCTAGAAAATCATTTAATGATGGAAACAAATGGATGCATGCTTCATCTGTATCTTCTTTTCTGACATATGATCGTTCCAAAGAGTTTGTCCATTTAACCTCTGTTTTGTTTCCACAGACTGAGAGGGGGATTAACTAGTTACCTTTGTGCTCCTGATACCCAAGTACTAAGTTATACCTTTGAATGTGCTTTGAGGGCATGAGCCACATATTCTTTATTATTTGAAGAATTTATTATGCCAGTGATTACAACCGCCTAGTGAACTTTTTTTTTTTTGCGGTAAAAAGAAAAACATTTTTTGCCTTGTTTATAAAGTTTAACCCCCTACCCCCACCCTGGCCATTGCTGTTCTGTTTTGAGTGTTTTTACACTCAGGTTCTACAGCTTGGCTACCTTTCTCTTCCATGGTTAAGTTCATGGCACTTGATATAAAATCAGTGTCCTTCATTCTTGGTTAATGTTATTTATCATGTAATCTCTCTCTCTCTCACACACACACACACACACACACACATCCACACTCATACACACACCAGGCCTTGGTCTCATGTTGCTTATTTTGGTTTCAAATAGGAGGTCCACATAATAAAAGAATACCAGCAAGCTGAGTGGCCCAGGTGAGGCTGAGCTGGCAGCACAGAATCCAGTGAGCAGGCCACTGTAGTAATTGCTGCGCTAAGGAGTATGGGCTGTGGGGACAGAGGTGAATGTGGAAAGCCATAAGAAGAGTGGCACAGTTGAGTATGGATTTTGCTCTTAATCTTGATTGCTGTTGTGTCTTGGCAGTGCTCTTCGGGAACCTTGGATTATATTTTACATCGCTGCCAGTTGGCTGTGCAGAATGTCCATGATAATGTGGATAATGGTGATGTCTCTTTGAAATCCTTTGAGCCTGCAGTTTTGAAACAAGGAGAAGAAATTCACAATGAGGTGAGAACTGTGAAGAATGAGATTCTACCCTACTTTCAAACTAACAAGTTAATCTGCCCTAGTTTCATGCTGGTCTAAGATATAAGACTCCAAAGTCAGAGGTGAAGGACAGGTTATTACAACAGTGGCAGTAGACAGAGCCTCAGCTCTTTGTGCTAATTCTCTGTTGTGGTCCTTTTGAAGTACTGTAACAAAATATAGCATCCCAGGGAGCATCTAGACAACAGGAATTTATTCTTACAGTCCCGGAGGTGAGATAAAGATCAAGGTGTTAGCAGGCTTAGGTCCCTGGTGAGAGTGTTTCCTAATTCATAGATGGCACCTTCTTATTGTGTCTTACATGATTGAAAGGGACAAATAAGCACGCTTGGCCCTTTTTCCTATGTGTACTAAGTCCTCCCAACTCACTGTCACTTCCCAAATGCCTCACCTCTTATTAGTATCACTTGGGGATTAGAATTTCAACACAAGAATTTTAGGGGACACCAGCATTCAGACCACAGCCTTCTCCAAGCTTCTGTTTCCACAGGGTGATGCAAAATGGGCTAGGTAACTTGTGACATCAAAGGAATTACCTTGTAGGAGAGGGACCTTGAGCTAAGGTAGTTTGTGTCTAAGGTAGTAAGCATGGCTGTCCTTTGTTCCAGACGAAGATACTGTTTTAACATTCTGAGTTCTTAAAGCAAACCTGCCCTCTATCCCGGAGGAAGAAACTTATTTTCCAAGGGTATTTGTTATATAAACATCCCTGCAATGAGCATGTGAAACATGGGGCCATCAGTGCCACTTACAACCCATTCAGAAAAACAAACCAGTCAGAAAGAATAGTCTTCCACCAAAGACTGAGGATGAGCCCAGAGATCAAGTGACAATAGTTTACTTTTTATTTAGGTAATTAGTTGCATTTCTGTAGTCTGTAAATTCAGCAGGAGTTCTAGATTACATGAGTTAATGTGTTTCCCAAGCTTTACTATTCTTGTTAACACTCTTTCAAACTTAATATATCTTTGAGCTACATGTATTGATAACTATTTTACCTTTTTTTTAACCTCCTCTTTTTTTTGCTGTTGTTTGAGACAGTGTCTTGCTATGTAGCCCAGGCTGGCCTTGAACTCATTGTGTAGCCCAAACTGGCCTTGAACTTGTGGTGAGCCTCCTGCCTTAGCCTTCCAAGTGCTGGGATTATAGGCCTGTGCTACCACACCTGGCCTAAACCATCTCACTTTTTACATAAATTAATTTCTTTAAAAAGGAAACTTTATATTGTTTCTTTTAAGTGGAAATCCAGAATTACTATCCAAAAGAAAAAGTAGCCAGAAAAATATACCCAGTGAAACTAGAGCAATGTTATGACCATGTAGCAGATCCCTGGCCTGGAGAAGGCTCTGATTAGGCAGTCTCCTTTCTTGGTGTTTAGAGAGATTACTGGTAATGGTTACACAACTTTGTAATTTAAAAAAAAAATTGTTGAATTCTCTAGTTCAAAGGAATAGATTTTATGGTTGGTAAATTATACCTTTAAAAAAATTAATTTTTTTTAGATCAGCAAGATTGACAAAAGGCAGAAAAGTATTGAAGAGTGTCACCAGTGGAGACTTTTTCTTTGATATAATCAAAATGATTGAGAGACACTTTGGAATATAAAAATGTTCTTATTCATCTCTTCAACAAATAATTACTGAGCATGTGCCTGCACTCTTCTGGGTGAATTATGATATGTTAGTAAAGAAAAAGGATATTCCAGTCCAGGGAGGTGATGATAATTAATAAATATAATACATTGGTGAAGTATATAGTATGTTCGAAGTTGCTAAATGCCGAAGAAAAAAAGCAACCAAACAGAGCAAGGAAATGGAGATTGAGAGGATTAGAGAGTATCCCTGTTGAAAAAAAATGTCTTTTGAACAGATTGGAAGAAGATGAAGGAGTGAGCCATGTAGATATCTGGGGAAGAGCATTTTGAACAGAAGGACAAGCAGTGCAAAGGCCATGAGGTTGAAAGTACCTGGTGTTCACAGAGTGGTTCAGGGACAGATTGCATGGAGGGAATGAGGCTTCGAGGTTAGGAGATGAGATCACAGAGAGTATCAGGAGACCGGGATGGGCAGAATTTATTGGTCCTTGGAGACTTCCATAAGGACAGGGACTTTCCTTTTTACTGTGAAGGAAATAGAGAGTGGTTGAAGAATAAATAATTTCTACATTATTTTTTTAATATCCCTTAAAAATTAATAGCTTGTGAGTATGCTTTACATTTTTGATACACTGTCAAAATTTCTAGAACAAAGCCAAAGAAATTCTACTTTTAGGGGGAATAGTAACCTCCCATAATGCTGAGCTGAACCCAGGGCTCTTTTCTTCGTTGTGCCTAGTAAGTTCCTATGTTCTTGATCATCAGTCTCTTTGAAGACATTGCTGATAGGTAGGATTGCAGGAAAAATACACAGTTATGGGCCTGATGACCTCACTGAATTATACCTAAAAGGAAAATTGTATCTTCCCCCATATTTGTGGTATAGAAATTCTAATCTGGAAATTTAGTTATTTCCTGCTCTAAAAACCTCACAATTTTAAGAGTCAGATTAGCAGATTAGGTGCTGTCTTTAGCATGCATATGAGCTATTTTATTTTGCTATGCTTTCTGATCTTCTGTGACTGATGTTTTGTTATCATCAGAGGACAAGAGAAATCTGTAAAATTATACTGCTTATCTAAGAGAGGAATACTGTCATCCAAATCCACATTGAGAAAGTGGCTGGCTGCTTTTGATATTGTATACCTTAGGAGAGGGGGAAGACATGCATCAGAAGCCTTAGCCCTTTGAGGCTAATCTGGGGTTGAAGAGAGAGAGAGAGAGAAAGAGAGAGAGAGAGAGAGAGAGAGAGAGAGAGAGAGAGAGAGAGAGAGAGAGAGATCTTGAATCTAAATAGCATGTGTGGCAGTCTTCATCACCATCCGCCATCTTTGATTTTTCAAGGTCATCTTGTTACTTAAGAATTATTTCCATATGTCAGGGCACATCATCAAATATTGTCCTCTTGCCATATTACTGGCCTAGGGTCAATCACTTACATGCTTACTTTGTTGTGTTCTATTGTTAGATGAAAACATGAATATCCATAGTAGATACCCCAGTTTCTTGTTTGCTTTCCTCTGTCTCCAAGGCCATTATGCTTTTGCTGAACTAATTTAATTATAGGATGAAGCACTTGGTTTTCAGTACTGTAAAGTTTCAGGCTGTCTGGGTTTAGGCGTGGCTTGTTTTTCTTGTCTAGAATGGTTTCTAACTAAGCATTTTGGGAACTTTAGACATAGAAACTGAATACCATTTAAAGTATTTCTTTTCCAATGAAAGATGCTTAGAAAAAAATTTATGTTTGTTCATAAGCAGAATCTTCCTCTGTGTTACTAAATTGTTTTCTTTTTAAAAAATAGTAAAATGTGGAATCTGAATCTTTTGTGTATTTCACCTGGAAGAATGTACTGTTTGATAATATTGTCTGGTCTTATTTGCCTTTGATCAGATCTGTATCTTCCTATGGGTCCATAAAAGGGTCTTCATAGAGCATCTCTTTATAGATTGAGTCTTAGCATCTTCCCCTGGTCTAATTTTTCAGTGAAATAAGTGAATTCAGTTACTATAGTGAGAGATCAATTCTAAGGGACATGTTCACATATCTCTTGAAGGAATTATGTGGCTGACCTGGGACCAAAGTAAGAGCCAAAACAAATGTGGCAGAAAAAAAGGAGGTGTTATTTGCTTACCTGGAGGAGTAATAGAAATGATGTACAACTATGTGGTCATATAGCCAGTGTCTTAGAAATATATGTTGGAATCATATATGCTTTTTTTCCACATTACCTGAGCACCTAGTGACTTAGATTCAGCTGGTAGATGGATCCTGTTTCTTCCACCTCTTCAGATGTTCAGTAGGTATTTCTGGGAGAAAAGGTTTTCATGGTTGATCACTCTTTTGACTGTTCCATCAAGAAAGGAGATACAGGGAAGAAGGTTACAGAGATGGTTTTCTGGGTCACCACTATGAACCTAAAACTACGCTGACCATGCGTTCATCTTTCTCTGACAATGCAGAGGGTCCTTTAAGATCCAGTATGGTCTGTTGACTGTCAGTGTGCCTTTTGATGCCTGTGGACCTAAATTCTCTTTGGGTTGTAATTTGCTCAAAAGATTGGATGATGGTGAATTTTCATTATGTGCACATTAGTTATCAAGGAGTTTGGTTTATAAATATAAAGAAGACTGAGAGAACCTCAAAAGAGCTCTTCCATGTTGTTTCCTGTTGTTCTTGTCTTCAGGGACCTGCAGCTCCCATGGAGTGTTTTCTGGCTTCTACTCTCTGTCTGTTTGCGATTCTGATGGCTTGTCTCTTATTTCTGCTCTGTTAGCTGTGAGGCTCCCTGGGGGGACCTCACTCTGGGAAAGGGATGAATACCCAGTCCTTGTCATACTTAGAACTTTATCAGTCAGATATTGTGGTGGGGCTTTTTTTAAAGCTCTAAAGTAATAAGGCTTCCATTATATTCTGAGTGCTGACCCTCAGGTTTTTCTACAAAGTCCACCCTGCAGCTTTTTTTCCTATCCTCCCAGAGTTTAGGAGGAAACAAAATTTTCTTTTAATCTCAATCTCGAATCAAACAGCTGGAAATATTTTTTGCTTCCTTTCTTAATGCTTCTTTTGGCAGTGGAGTGAACTGGTAAGGGTAGCGTTTGATTAAAAAAACTCTAATTTTCCCCCCCATAGTGTAGAAGTGAAAGAGTCAGGTCATGGAGTTGAATAAAATGCATGTTAGTGGATTTGATGTCCACAAAGATTGCATGTCATGGGCCATGCTTCAACTCATGGACAAATTGAACTAGGAGTAGATTCTCAGTGTTAACAGGTTTTTGGGTGGCGCTAGTGGGCAAGGGTGGGTATGAGTTGACATGGTTGTTAAAACTTTCCCTGCTCAGAAAATTTCATAACATTGTGAGATGCTTGTAGACATAGTTCTAGGGCTTGCAGTCTTGGCTAGTTTCTCTTCCCACCTAACAAGTATGTATACTGAATAGCTTACTACTTACAAAGCTATGTAGCTAATATGTATTATCCCAGTTTCGCACTGACTCCAGAGCCCTGTTTTGTTGTTGTTGCTGATTTGAAACAGGGTCTCTGTGTACTTCAGGCTGGCCTCTAGCTTGCAGTGATTCTCCTGCCTCAGCCTCTCCAGTGCTGGCATTACAGGTGTGTGCCAGCATGCTCAACTTAGAGCTATTATTCTTAAGCATGACAGCGTCTGCCTCAAAAGATAGCATCTGGGGAGGAAGATGAAGGCAGTATCTATTAAAATGGATAAAGCTCTTTATTTGCTCTCTTGTCCAGTGGCAGAGTCCCCAGATATGTCCTTCTCCTTGCTGCTCAGTTTTAATTTACTGAAATCTGGAGTCTAGTGTACCCTGATAGGTTGAATGAGCTCATTACATATGATAATCTGTTTTAGTTCCTGGGATACCATGGCTGCCAAAGTTTGTGCATTTTGTCCTCTTCAATGGAAATAACCAACCCAAAGGTTGGAAAATCTTTTAAACTCTCCTTAATATAGGGCTTGATGCTTTGCTGACAGGCCATTCTAAAAGTGTGAACAAAATTCGAGTGAAATCCACGAAAAAGAATTCATTGTTTTCTTGAAATAAATGTTGTTAGACCTGAATCTTCCCCTAAGTTTAACTATGTTTATGTTCATTCTCCTTTCAAAATATCTAAGTTTATTTCTGTTAACCACTGTCTTTTAATACCATAGATAAGGTTTAGCAACTGTTGTCTTAATATTGTCTACATTCCTTTTTTATTTTGTTTAAACAGCTTCAACTGAAATCACTTCTACATATCAAACATTTAGTTAATGTAAACTAAAACCTTTTCATATGACTTGATGTTCTCCAGTTTCTTATTTCAGCCATTTTTGCCATTGTTAAATCTTCACAAGCTGCCTTTGTTTGCCTCATGAAAGTTCAATATGGATAAACAAACAAAAAAATTCTTTGTGGTAACAGGTGACAATTGCAATAGGTTGGCGAGTCTGTATATGGAACGTAATCACCTTAGTAAAGCCAGACAGCCCAGCTTGAAGCTGTGATTGCTGTACATTTCTTTAGTGGGCAGAGGTAAAAAGAGTTTTTAGGATAAGTGGCACTATACTTTGATGGTAAAAATGTGATTTTCAAGTTGAAAATGTGTGATAGAAGACACAGAGAATAAAGAACAGTTTGTAAGCTTCCAGAGTGTTATTTAGCCTCTTATCTGTATGTGTTGGGATTGTTTCACTTGCAAGGGACAGAGACGTGAACCTGAACTGGCTTGAGTAAAACGAGCTTCAGAAATAGCTTGATTAATAGTCAGTTGATATCACTAGGACCTGATTTTTAATCTTTTCACTTTATAGTCAGTTACCTCCTACTGTGTTGGCTTCATTCTTTCCATTTGATAGCGCAATGGCTACAGCCTTTTTCCTGTATCTTCTGTCAGTCTTGATAGCTATTCTGATTGAACACTTGCCTAATTCCCATACCCAAATCCAGTTCTGTGAGTAGAGAAATGGGATGAGCTGATTGACTTAGACCTAGATTTCCAGTTCTACTCTTAGTATTGGAGCTGAATCTCTACTTAGCCCACACGGAGTGAAATCTAAGGAAGGGAGAGTTGTGGGTTAGTAAATGCATAGTAAAATTTTGGTAGAATAGGAGGAATGCTAACATGGCAAATAATAAAAACAAGTCCACAGGAAGGAACATAAATTAAAGGTATCTTTGCTACTCTTTACCTGTAGGCATTAGCCCTTACTGAGTTGACAAGTGACAATTTGAATGGCTTTTTAGGTTAAATATATGCCTCCATAATTAGTTTTATGTTGTTTGGTTATATGGGCTAAGATGATCACCAGCTCCTCCTGGCCCACGAGCAAGTTCTTTATTTTTTTTTTTTATTTATTTATTTATTTATTTTAGTATTGGGGATCAAACTCTGGTCCTTGCACTTTCAAGGCAGATGGCAGAACCACTGAGCTAAATCCCTGGCCTCAACTTCTTTATTTTAAATCTAGAAAATTGCGATTGATAATCATAATATGTGTTCATGTCTTGGTCTTTAACTCAGTCTTTAATAAAGATGTTTAATAAAGTATTTAAAAATTGTCTTTCTTATCATGCACAATACAGGCTGCTTATACTTTAAGATCTCAATATTTGTTGTCGTTTGACTTACATAGTTTCCTCACATCTGACTAAAAAATGTGCTTGAAAATCCTTCCCTGACCTGAGCAGATTGTGTCTCTAAGACCTCAGCTTTAAGACTACTCTCTCCTTGGCTTTGCAGAAATGCTCTGGAGATGCCAGGGGATACTGGGAACTGGTCAGATCAGGCTTTTCTCACCTTTTGTCACCTTATGGCTATTAAGTTACCAGAGCAGAATTGAGTGAGGAAGTCACTGTCCTTGTTTGTCCATCACAAGGACATCGTAACCACTATCTTCGGTTTCTGGTCCACAGGTCGAGTTTGAGTGGCTGAGACAGTTTTGGTTTCAAGGCAGTCGATATAGAAAGTGCACCGATTGGTGGTGTGAACCCATGACTCAACTGGAAGGGCTGTGGAAGAAGATGGAAAGTGTGGTAAGGACATGAGCTTGGGAACTCTATTTTCTGGGATGCTTTGTTATACAAATCCTCAGCTGCTCAATTTTATTCCAAATTATTGAGTTAGATTATTCTTGGTAAGAACAGCCAGAATTTGTCAGTATAACTGTAGTTCAGTTCAGTGAACATTGATTGAGAATAATCTGTATAGAAGGCACCATGCTAGATGTATGCTGGGTAATGGCAGTGAGAAAAGTTCAACAATCATATCTAAAATTCATTTTCATTTTTTATGCACCAGGCACTATTTTTGGAGATTTTCCTGCATTAACTTTTAAAATTCTTACAATGATCAGAGATGTAGAAACTCTTATGAGCCTTAATTTATAGATGTGAAGACTGAGGTAGAGAGAAACTAAGTGTTTTACCCAAGGTCCCTGAGTAAGTGGCATGGAAAGATTGCTACCCAGGAAGCCTGGCACCAGAGCTCATCTTCTTAGCCACTGTGATCCAACAGTTTAACAAGGAGAGAGACATGAATATCACCAGGTATTGTATTACCTAAAATGTAATCCTATAATAGAGGTGAATTAGTCAGCATTCTTGTGGCTGAGACACAATGCTTAACACTCACAGTTTAAAGGAGGGGACTTTTAATTTGCTCACAGTTTCAGTCTTTGATTGGCTGGCTCCAAGGCAGAGACATCTTGGCAGAAGGGTGTGGTGGAGCAAAGCTACTTAGTTCAGGTGATCTAGGAAGCAGAGCAGAGAGCCAGAAAGGAAGGGTGAGGGGGACCAGATACAGACCCCAAGGCCACACCCCCATGACCCACCCCTACAGACCTAGGAGTGTTCCACCAATCCTTGGGGCAGATCCCAAAGCTCATCAAGTCAAATCCCCACCCTAACCACTACAAGAAGTTTCAAAAAAAAAAAAAAATTACAGTTCAGAAAAGAGAGTATTAAATTCAGATCTCTGAAACTAGGACTGTTGTGAAACTACAGATGTGGCTTTTAGGGACCTTGTATGGTAGGAGCATTAGGTGTTTGGAACTATGAAACAAAATAAGAAGTGAGGAAGTATAGCTTAGAGAAAGGACTACAAGGGAAACAAAGCTTGAAACAAGTGGAAACCACATAATTAGGTTATAATTTAAACAGTAGTAATAATAGCAAGCACTTCCATGATACTTGTGGAGTACTAGACACTACTGCAAGCATTTTTTGTATAACTGATTTAAGTTTTATGACAAACCCATGAAATCAATTATTTTCTCCTACTTTTACAAACAAGGAGAATGAAGCCCAAAGGGCTTATGTAACTTTCCCAAGGTCATTCAACTAATAGATGGGGGAGCTGAGATTTGAATTTAAGAAGGCTGACTCTACGGTTCCTTGCCCTTCACTGTCTCATGTTCAGTCTCTAAACAGTTGAATTTGGAATGTAGTGGAAAAGTGATAAAAGCCTGCTAAAGCCTGGAGAGAATACCACTGTACAGAATTTGAAATGTGCTGGGAACAATGAACTAATCTGCAGAAATGAGTAACTATTGCTAATATGTATTTTATTTTGGAAGCTGCTTTATTAAGGTATGTTTGACACACAGAAAGTTGTATGTATTTAATGTATATAATTAAATGAGTTTGCAGATATACATATACCCATGCAACCATCATCATGATCCATGCTGTATAAATCAAAACTTTCTTCTTGACTTATTATCATGATAGCAATATTTAACATAGAATCTACCTTCATCCTTATTTTATAATAATGAAAATATCAAGTCACAATCATGAAAAGCCTCAGTTTAAAAGTCTGGCTCAGAATCCAGAAATCGCTGCTTTCAAGACATCTCCTCAAATCTTCAAATCATGTCTTTCTATGAATTTGTGCCTGAGGAAGAAATATTACCATCCTTCTTTTAGTGTATTCATAGCATCACAAATATTGATTTCTTGAAGATATGGATCTATACAAAACTGTGCATTGTATTACTAAGGTGGAGATAATGATAAGTCCATGCCTACTTCTTTATAGTTAGTTTGAGTCTGAGTCAAGGATGTTCCATTTTTGTGACATGTGTGGAGTTTCAATTTCAGGGCAATGTTTGTACCTCCATTGTGCAAGTCTGAATTTGTGCATCTATGCTTGAGTTTAGAATGTCTTTCTTTGCTGAGCCTTAATTCTAACACATCAGCTTGACTTTGAAATTATAATTTGACAGTTGTGAATTAAGAGTTGGAAAATAAATAAGCAAGGATCTTATTAATTTAAAAACTTTTAAATTACTTTTGTTCAAGATTTTTTAAAAAAGGAAAATCTGTGGTATTGTGATTGTAACAATGATGTGATTATAAATTCATTTACTCTATGTTAAATATATCTATGTATTTGGTGGTGATGGCACATTGGTTAGGAGTATCTTCTACTTATTCTGTAGCTCTCATATGAAAAATGTTAAAAAGAACAGCAATCCTGGGAATTCTCCAGAGCTAGTTTCCTTGTGCAGTAGTTGGTGTGGGATTCCTCAGTGAGCTGTAGGAAATCAATGGCCTAGTGTCTCTCCTCAGCAGGCCTCAGGATGATCATTATCAGCAGAGTGAAGGTTTGGGCTGAGATAAAAGGGACAGTCCTTCTAAGTTAAATTTAAGTATCGCTTGAAGCCTTTTAAAATGACTTTTAACAAACTCATAATAATTTATTTTAGCTATTGAAAGAGACAGAGAGAACACTCATTTGAAAGGTCTGTGCTTCTGTGGCCTTGTCAGTTTTTGCATATTGAGAGTGCCATGGGCTCTCTGCTCTGTACCAGCCCACCTCCTCTTTTTTTAGTTGCAAGCAGTAGGGGGCAATGTTGAGCTGCTAGTTGAGGCCCCAGGATGCTAGCCCTTCAGGAAAATGCATACAAATGTACCATTAACTGTCAAGAATTATTCCTGTTGCTTCAAGTTAGCTGTAATCTCCAAGATTCTATAACACAGGAAATCAGCTGTGGGTTAACAAATTCAACAGCAATTTAACATAAAAAGTGCAATGTTTGGTACACATTTGGGTTCTATAGAATTAGGCTAATCTAAACGGCATATCTGAATGTACTAAATTTACTTCCAGGGAATATATTACTCAAAATTATTATCATTTTAGAGGAGTGATTCTTTGTTATCATTATACTTTTTTTGAATTGCAAAATCATTGTGTGTGTTGTGGAAAGATTTCTTTAATCAATGCATTTTGTCTGTTCTGCAACATAACATCGATCTCTTTCAGTGAGAAAATAAAAACCTCAGGCAATATGTGCATTACTTTTCCCCTTTTGCTTATGAGTAAGGCAACCTTTGACAGCTCTTGTACCAGGGAAGAGACTTACGTTATAATTTCTCTCTGTCTTTGTATTCTTTTTTTCACTTTGTGGTTGGGATATGTAGTCTTAGGAAGGATATAGGAGAATGGAAAATGAGCTTTGAAATAGTTTTTCTTCCATTAATGGTAATTGCTTCACATGTCATAACCAGCCACATATTTCAGAAAGTTTAGTCAGCTGTCTCTAAAACTCCCCCAGCCTCTACTTCCTAGTCCCTGTCCCAGCAAGCACCTTTTTTTTTTTTTTTTTTTTATCATACTGTTTATTCTCACTGTTTCTCTCCCGGAGGATAGTTTTACTCAGTGCATGCTCTTGTGATGTAAATGTTAAACCTTATATTTGAATGACATTCTGATAAAATATCACATTTTCCCTGAATATTACCTCATGAATGTATGAACCATTAAGCCCAAAGTAACAAAACCCTTTCTTACAACCCAGGAATTTAACCTGGCCTTTCTTCTCCTCTTTGCTCCATATGCAAGAAGTAGTATAACACTGTAATGCTATTCAAATATTTGCATTTTATTTTATTTTTGAACCAACCCACTACCTCCCATCCAGGATTATTGTATTATGAGGAGACTGTTCAGGATAAGAGAGAGTTACCATTTGAAAGAAGCTGTATAAGCTGTGCTTTCTGGGTAAAGAGGAATATGAAAAGCTGAAGTCTCCAGTGAGGTGAGGAAGTCCTGCTGCAGCCAGAGATTGAATGGATAGGCCATTTGTCTCTCAGGGTCTGGTATCGCTCTTTGCAAAACTGACATTTATTTTACCTATAAAAATGTTTTAACACTATCAAATTCACAGCGATACTGAAAAGAACGCTAGGTGTGAAATCCTCTAAATTGATGACATTTATTCATTTCCTTTTGACCTTAAAAAAAATAAAAAGAAAGAAACAGAAAAAGACCTATTTGGTACAATCCAATGGAAATATTCTAGAATAGTTTCCAGACTAAGCATTTTCAAAAGTACTGATGATTTATATACTGGAGAGAAATTTCTTCATGATGTTTTCATTGCTTTTTCTTTTTGAAGAGAAATGTAGATCCTGATCATTTTGAATGTTTTGCATTGCGTTTCCTGTCCTGACAGTTGCTTGTGCTGCCATAGCAGTGCCTGTATATGGCAGTTGGCCTTAATAACCTTTATTGACTCGAGTGGGTAGGAGCCAAGACTGGATTATTTTAATGTATCTGTTTTGAAACAGTGTAAAACACAACATATAATTATGTTAGGTAAGCTATGGGCTACATTTAATTCTACCCATTTATGTTAAAATTTGGCACAGGGGAGGACAGTGAGATGTGGAAAATGAATAGGTGTTTTATTTAATAATGTAACCAGTTTCTTGCTGTTAAAGTTTTAAGAGAAAAATGTACTTAAGAATGTAAAGGTTGTCCCTGACAAGTTATTTATAATAGTTTAATTCCAAGATGACTCACACCTCTTTTCATGTCATTGTGATCTGTGTAAATCATCAGGGAAAGCTCTTGCTCACTGCTGTGTGGATGAGTCCTCCTCAGTGTGGGTTACATGGCTGTAGGAAATGACTGAGTCATTTTTAGGAGAGCCTGACAAAACTATCATCACATTGCTGTAGGTTAAATTCTTTATCATTGAATATAGGAAAAAGGCTGAAATATATCCCAAGTATACTATATTTGC